CCCTCTGGTTTCACGACTAGAGTCTCTGATTTAACTAACCAGACTTAGGATATATTTCAACATACTCGACCAGAGCCCCTCTGGTCTCTCTACCAAAGGCCCTCTGGTCTCTCTTCCAGAGCTTCTGGTTTCAAAAGACATGACCAACCAGAGAACCGGTCACCTCTTGTCCGATTTAGGATTAAGTTCGGACAACACTTGAACGGTTTATTGTCCATATACAGATAATCCACATGCATATTATATTCATAATGACCAGTTCCAAATACTACTAAATTGTATGTAAACAATTTATACTCAAAGCTTTAATGCACTCACCTTAGAAATTAGATATCCTAGCTTTGAATTCTCTTCTTCTTTTTCTGCCAAACCGTATGATTCACCAAGGAGTCTTTCCTAATATAGAAAGTGTTTCAAAGGTGTGCTAAGCTTCTTTTTCTTTCACATACACTTGTTTTATTTATAGTAAGTGTATGACCGCCCCTCAAAGGTCGGCTAACATAACTAATTCACCCACACCCATACACTTCTACATAAAATATTCAGATAAACATAGGYCGTCCCTCAAAGGTCGGCTAACATAACTACATCAGCCACACCCACACACATCTATATAAAATATTCAGATAAACATAGACCGCCCCTCAAAGGTCGCCTAACATAACTACATCACCCACACCCACACACATCTACATAAAATATTTATCTATACTACATATATAACCATTTAAGTCATTGTCTTAATTACAACCTTTTAAGCATAAAGTACTGTCATTTTATGCATAAAGTTCAAAAAACTCTTAAGAACAAGTCATAAAGCACAATGTACAACTATTTTCTTAACCATTTCAAACCATTTTGATTCAAATTTCAAATTTCAAATTTCAAATTTCAAATTTCAAATTTCAAAATTTCAAAATTTTCATTATATCATCCCCTCTCCTTCATCTTTTTCTCAACCATTTCAAACCATTCTTTCTTGGTCGCCTTTATCGTCGGAATCCCATAGCTCCAACTCCGGTCATCTCTATCTCGGCAGACCCAACCACCTTTCTCGATCTGTTGCTCGGTCGTCTCCTCGATCTGTTGCTCCTTGGAATGAAAAGCCACAGCTCTGTTCGATCCCAACCACAGTTATGTTCTTCTTGAAGGTGAAATTTCTATTGGGCTTCAACCTAATTGTTTCTGTAACCCTTCTCTTTTTACCGATTCAGCAGCTTTAGGGACCCTTCAATCGATCTCGGTGGTTCATTCTCTATTCAAGGTAACTGTAATGGTTTCTGTTTTCAAGGTATCGATCTCTTGCTTGTGGTTTAATTTGTTCAGAGTGGGTTTCGACCCTAATGGCTTATGTATCACTTCTCAATGGGTTTCAACCCTGAAAGCTCATGTTTATTCGTTTGGTTTTAGTTTGTAATTGTACTTATGGAGGTTTCCTTCACAGGTGAATACGAATACCTAGATGTCATCGTTGAAGGCGGAGATAGGGTGTTGATTGATATAGATTTTAGATCGGAGTTCTGCTCCTACCGCCGTTCGATCGTTCTTTAGGTGAGTCAGTTGTGGTGTCGCCGACCGTTCTAGATGCTGTGTATTTCTGCATTGAGACTAAGAGCAGGTGGGTTTTTCAAATCCTTCATCACGAAGAAGCTATGCGAAGGAGAAGCTGTTCATCATGGAAGAAGATGAAGAAGATCYGATCTGTTTGAATCGTTACCTGATGAAATTGTTATCTCCATCCTATGCAAGCTCAATTCTACCTCTTCTTCTCCGTCTGATTTCGTCACTGTTCTTCTTACGTACGTTTTGGTTTCTTCATATGCATACGAAATCTCTTCTCCGTTTTTAGATGCTTTCTTTGATTTTCATCATTGTGAACTGTAGAAAATCTAATCTCATCTGTTTTATGTTTTGATTTCATGTTTATAGATGTAAGAGGTTGAATAAATTAGGTGTTCATCCTTTGGTTTTGTCGAACGCTTGTTTCTGAAAACTGGTCGGATGAGGCTCACCGGTTTCTGAAAGTGTGCGTCAACGCCGGCAACAAAGAGGCGTATTATACTCTCGGAATGGTAATTAGTAATTAATTCGTAATTWGTATTGTGAAAACCGACTTGATTAACGGGATTTTCGTCGTAGAAATCGATAGTTTTCTTTMGTTTGATAAGATATTTTTGGTGTTTTTTCTAGATCCGATTTTATTGTTTACAAAATCGAGGAAGTGGAGCGTCGTTAATGGTGAAGGTAGTGATTAAGTCTCACGCGCCGGCACTGTACTCCTTGGCTCTGATTCAGTTCAAYGGCAGCGGTGGTCTGAAGAACGACAAGGACCTTCGTGCCGGAGTTGCTCTCTGTGCCAGAGCGGGTTTTCTCAGCCACGCTGACGATCTCCGGGAGCTAGGGCTCTGCCTTCAATGCAAACACTGCAACTTTGCCTTTTTTTTACCACTTACAACTTTAATAAAATAATAAATCTTGTAAACTTAAACAAAGAAAAATGTGCAGTATAGAATCTTGTACTATGTCTTGAGAAATGTGTTAGTGTAATTGGTGTTGCAGTACTAGCTAGCTCACTTGAGGTGTTAGGGGCTTCAAAAGATGAGCCCGAGCCCCCCACCCACCCACATCCCATCTATACATACACACATATCTATCAATATATACTTTTATATATTATACAAAGTATTCCAGTATAATCTTCAAATCCAACATCTGTTATTAGAATAAGATCAAATCTATACTATTTTATTAAGTAAATTTAATAAAAGTTTTAAAGTTTTAAAATA